AGCAGCCGTTCCTTTCCCAACCACGCATGGGTCGGCGGGAGCTGTGGACAGTGGGTCCCACCAGGGTGGGACTGGTCAGGGGCAGAGCACCGTCAGCCCCGAGCACCCTCCTCTTCCCAGGCGGGGCCTCTTTCAGGCCAGATGCCCCTCAGCCAAAGGGACCCACGGTCAGCTGCGTGCTTGGGCCGCCGTTACAAGATTGACTGAACCAAAGCGGACGTCTAGGGACTCTTTGGTTGGCGACCCAAAACAGCAGAGGATGGCAAGGAGCCAATGGAGGTTGACCCACTGGAAGATCAGGAGTAGCCCATGGAGGTTGATCCAATTCCAGCAGACCTAGCCGGGTACTGCAACCCTGATCCCAAGCTATGCTTGAAGAAGGGAGCCCTGTTGCTCTGAGAGGGTCTGGCCCCACCATAGTCTCTGTTGGCATGGGCCCAGCTCCTTGGCAGGTATGCTGCGGGAGTGAAGTCGAGGCCTTAATACAGCTGGCCTGCTCGTGTCTCACAGCCATCAATCAATCAATTAATCTCCATCCATTGATATCCCTTGAAACATGGTGGAGCTTCACGTGCTGCTTGGGCTCTTCCTCCCCGTCCTGCACTGCCCTTCTGCCCCCCAGATGTTCACAGGGTATCTACCCTGCCCTTTCCAGTGTGCGAGTAGCACAGCAGTGCAGGGAGGAGGTCATGCTACAGAGACCATCCGTGGCGAATACACACCCTGTGCCGGGCACGTCTCTCACCACCAGCGTTTACAGAAGACGGAGGATCAAAGCGTTCCTGGGATCTCTCATCCTCAAATAAACTGCTTCTAACCTTTGCCTTGTGACAGTGCCTGGGCAGCACTGGGGGGAACAGCTGGAACAAGAGGGAGCAACACTTTGTCAAGGCCTAGCACACAAGACCAGGTCAGGGCCCTTAGCTTTAAACAGGGAACATTATTAAGCCTTGCTTTTGAAACTGCTTCTCCCTTCTTCTGAATACCAGCGCAGTCACTCGCAGCCAGGTTAGAATCATCATAGAATCATAGAATGGTTTGGGTTGGCAGGGACCTTTAAAGGTCATTTAGTCCAGCTCCCCCTGCAATGAGCAGGGACATCTTCAACTAGATCAGGTTGCTCAGAGTCCCCTCCTACCTGACCTTGAATGTTTCCAGAGATGGGGCATCTACCACGTTCAGAATTTCTCAGTGGAATGGCTTCCACTGTGGAGAGTACAGATAGCCAGAAAATGCTGCAGACAAAAGCCAAGGAAATATCAGTCCCAGATCAGCTTGGTCAAAATGCAGATTTGAAGGTCCTGTTCCAAAGACTGGAGAGTTAAGAAGTTTGAGTTAGAGTGTAGGACTGGCCTGCTTTGCAGGGGAGACCTAAAACCTGAGTATGTTTTGTCAGGACATTAAGTGACCAAACCCAAAAACCTAAATGAAAAAAAGATAAAAATATGGCTTTATATAGTAACAAAAGCTAAAGATGTGGGTTTTTTTCCTTGAAGAGACAGAAGAGCATGTTTGTTTGTTTGTTTGTTTGCTTGTTTTTGTTTGTTTGTTTTTTAATGTTACCCCACCACCATTTCAAATCATTTTACTTTATACCACACCAAGAGGTATGGTGTGGTAAACCACAGTTCATACCACACCAAGAGGTGGGGGCACCTTCCCTGGCCCCACAGAAGCCAGAGAAAATGGAGAAGGACCGTGTGTCTATGGTCTTAGTCTCCCATGGCAGTGTTCTTACTTCAGAAACTACCATTGTTTCAGCATTCATAAATTCTTGTGATGGCAAACCAAGTACAATTACCAGCTGATGGTATGACTAGGAGCAATGAGCAAGACAATTTTGGGGGTGAGGATGGAATGGGAGGAGATCTTGGGACGATCAAGGTAAAATGCAAGAGAGACTAAAAGTAATTACAGAGCTATGGGACTGAGAGTCCCTTGTTCAATAAGAATGTGTGCTAATTGGCCTGGCACAATATATGACTACTTCTTTTCTGGTTCAGTAGAACTGGTTGACTTCCAACAACTCAGCTATCTTCTAGAAGTGAGGAATGGAAGGTGGTCCCTTGAGGTCAAGAAGAAGTCGTAGGTAGAGACAAATGACAAACAGAAATGGACAGAAATGGAAGTCCCCTGAGATTGCACTGATCAGCTTCATTAGATACACGTTTCAGTATTGCCCTGGAAGGGGTGGTGGGTCATGTGAGGAAAGGGGAAGAACATTTTGGCTGGTGTTTTGTTAGCATCACGGGGAAGATCAGGTGAGAGATAAGTGTAACAGCAGGAAGATCATGAGGTTACTGTTGAAAGAAATGCATACCAGTTTTTTTCCACAAGAAGGACGGGACAGAGGTACTTTGTATAAATGCTAGAAATCATAGAGCTTCATTAAGGAATGGGTACAAAATAGATTATGGAGAGCAGGCAGCGTAAGTACTGAGGATAATATGAATAGTGGTGATGGATCCAGTTGTAATATGGTTAGGTAGTGGTAGGCACATTTATCCTTTAAGCAGTACAAGAGGAGGAGGAAGACTCAGTCATTTGTCTTGGCAGAAAGCCCAGGTTACAGAGAGTGAAGGGCTAATGAAAGGTCTGAGTCGAGATGGAAGATGGAAGAGATAGAGCTGTCCTCCGAAGATGCTCTGTTTTCGAGCTACTTAGATCAAGAAAAGGAGGCAAAATCTTTTGCGTACTTGGTCCAAGCACAGAAGCAGGAATATTTAAAAGGACATAAGGTAAGAATCCTTAGTGTGAGAATGACAGTCACATGAGGTGAGGGAAAGGGGGAGGAAAGAGCAGGAAGCAAAGAAGAGGAGTGTAACAGATTCTGTATGGCAGGCTTTTGGTGCATTAAGCAAAGAGCTTTCTTGTTTTGTAACAGTGCACTTAATAGCTTAGACTGGCACAGAAGCATGATCAATTCACTGTATTTATCCTCTTTGCTGTGTCATTCTTCTCTTCTTATTTTACATTTATTTAATATTTCTGAAGCCTGGAAGATTTTTAAAAACATTCATTAGTCACAGATTCAACTCAAAAGGGCTTTTCTGAGGCTCTGCAGATGTTATGGTGCAGGGGCAGGGAAGAATGCACTGTATTTACAATTCTATTCCTGTAACAGATAATCAATACATTGTGCTCTGCTGTGTTAAAAAAAAATAGAAGGAATATGAGTGCCAAACTGCGATGATAAGCCCTTTGTGTCTTGAGTGCACTCATTTTCTAAGGATTAGGGGCTGTCCTTTATCAGCCAGTTCACTTCTGAAAGTCCATGATAGATTGCTGCTTGCCCGTCTGCTCCAAACAGCAGCAACCTCAACTTTATCAGCAAGGAAACCCCCAAACACAGCTGTCAGTAGGTAATGCAGAAATATTGCTTTCTCAGGGCAGACACTCACAGGCAAATCTTACCTTTTTCTCTGGAGCAATAAAAACTGCAATAGAAAGAGGACTTTGGAAGTAAGGTATTTACAAACAGCCATTTCTTTCTTTCTTTGGTTTTTTTCTGTCTTTTTTTTTGGTGTGGTTTTTTTTTTTTTTTGAGGGGAGGGTGAGGGTTGGGCTTTTGGGGTAGTTATTTCCTTTGTGCTCAGGCTGAAGGGAAATGGTCCTTCAGCATCTATTCTAATGTGCTCATTTATCTAGTGCTGGAAGAGTTGTGTATAAATGGGGCTAAGGTCTAACACATAAAGAAATGTCTGCCAGCAAGAGATGTTTTAGCAGGTTAATGAGGAACTTGGTAACAGCCTAGCAGGGTCATTGCAAAATCACATTTCTTTTTGCTGAAATCACTTCAGCCTTTAAAAACCACAGGAAAATACTCTGCTACTTTACGTGGAGATTTTGTTGAATTGAAAACGGTGTAGATAACATGTTATTTTTGAGTATTTTTAGCAAACATAGGAAAAAAACATTGTGAAAATGGACATCTCCTCTACTTGCTACTGCAGTTGGCGGGCCAGAGGAGGGCAGAGGGCCCTAATTTAGTCAGCTCAGATTTGCTGCACCCAGGTTTTCTCTGGAGAGATTGCAAGGGCAACTCTTCCCTCACTGACAAGCTATACTGCCCCAAGGTTTCTCCTACGCTACGGTACAGCAAGTTATCAACAAAATGGCTTCAGGATCCAAAAGTTACACTGTGTGCAAATGGCTTGTGAAAAACGAATGAAGACTTGGGTGGGTGCTTGCAGCCGCAGCAGCAATGGGCAGGCCTGCACGCTCAGAGGTAAGGGGAGAGTCCGGCTTCTCTTCAGCCACTGAGTCCAGCTTTGGGCAGGAATTAGGGTTTGCAGATGTGGTCCAGCACTCAGAAACTTTATGTTTCTGGAAAGTGCCATGCACAGTTATGCTGCCCTGCAACGTAACTGCAATTTGTCAGCCAAAAGAAACATAACCCTTGAAGACATCAGCTATTCTAGATTTTTTTTTTTCATTTTTATTGGAGCATATTTGTTTACTAATTCAGGTTACACTGCAGATTGGAGAGAGAACCGAGTTTTACAGGCTCGCTTTTTAATCTCAACAATTTTTTGCAAGGGAGCAGTTGTAATGCAGAGATGTCTGGGCGAGATACCTGAGCAAAAGCAATCAGTTTGGCTCTGCCACTGCACTGCTCCACGTGGCTGAAATTACTCTGCTGAAAACCAAGGTAAACTTCCCCATCAACTCTACGCTGCTTCAGCCATCCTGAGACTAATACTCCAGCTGCATCACCTTCCGCTGTTTAGGGAGATTTTCTGGGGAAAAAGAGCTTATTAAAAGTATATTGACCTTCAAAATATGTGGCACTTTTCTTTCAGTTCTCCCACTGGTCCTGAAAATTCCCCTCTGAGAAATAAGAGCTACAGCATTTATAAGACTCAGCTTTTCAGCTGGGTGATCTAACAATTCATCCAGGAAGCAGGTTTACATGGTCATGTGTGCAGGAACTAGGGCTCTTAAAAATTAGTTGTAGCATAATTATTTACTTTAGAAAAAAAGTATTAACTTTTACTCACCACTTCTCCTCCTCTACTTGAACTCCTATGGACTGGAACTTACTGGTTGCTTTATTTTCACCTGATTTGGTGGATTCTTCAGCGCCATCAACCTTAAAAAAAATGAACCAGCTAATTAGAATGTATTTTAGCAGAGATATCACCCAGCTACTTACAATTTCTATGCATGATAACTACTAAGTGTCTGCACATACAGCTTGTACCACAAGTACCTTCATCTAGTCAGATAGTTTATCTGTGGTGTTTTGATGTTATTAGTGAATATTCATCATTCTTGTTCATCTATAAAGCATTTCTGGTAAGACAACATTTGACCTGGAAAATGCAGATGGAGTTTATCCAGCATTTTATGGAGGCTGGATGCTCAGATTTGCCAGAGCAAATCTCTGAGCAGCTGTACCTTCACTTGTTGCGCTCCACCATTTGTTTCATTTTACCTGTTAGTCTGTAAGTGCATGCATATGTGAACTCATGTCGAAATTATGTGTTTATTTTGTTTAAATGTTAGTGCCCTGAATCAGAGCGCTGTACAGATAAGATTTAAAGAAAGCAGATGCAGCTCTTGGAATGCATTTTCTTCACTGCTTCATCATGCAAACAGGTGGTCCCCAGGAACACAGGCAGGAACTTTATACCACTTCTCCATCACCATGAGGAGATTTATACCAATGGTATAAAGTTAAAATTTAACCACAGATGCGTCTTTGAGCAAAATCACAAACTTCTGGGTCCAATCAGTGTAGCTGTCAATTCCCAATGCTATATATGACATTGTTAGTCATACAAGAAAAAAAATTTCCTGCACACAGAATTTTTGGACCGCAGCAGTGTTACAAAGTGACCTGTGGATCCACTCTGACCCCCGGTGTACAAAATCTCAAGCTGTAGTTAGCATCTGTTCCACCAATAAGTAAGCTGCTTGTTGAGAGCCAGTTTAACAGCCTATGCAGAAGAAGTGCTCAAGGAGGGATGGGAGTTACAGAGCTGTTCAGTGAAGTAGGGTACTTACCTGATACTGAGGCTTTTGGGGAGATAACTACGCCTTAAATCCCATAACTGACAGAGAAGAAACCTTTTGATGGAAGGGTTTTGCTTTGCTTTGCTTTATTTTACTTGTTTGCTAAACAGATTTACAGCAAAGGCTTGTGGTGTCCTAAGAGTGACTGAGGGGTGCGGAGGACACGCATGGAGGTTCAGCACAAGTGCACATTAGGTTTATTTGTTAGAGGAGGAAGCAAACCAAGAATATGCCTTTGGCTAAAGCCCTGCTTTACAGAGATGGGCCAGACTATAAGTAATGAGTTCAGTCTAAGCCTAAACTAGGCTCCCTTTACAGTCAGTGGAGAGAGACTGACTTCATATTGCCAGTCAGAGGGCTGACAGTCTACCTACCTATTTTAGGGCAGTTGTCTCTAAAAGAAGTAATTTCTGGCAGCAACAGCAATCTTACGGTATTTCCACTCCCACACTACCCTTTCAGCTGTACCAGCATGACTGCTTGTGCAATGATGCTGCAAAATGGGCCAGACAGTGGACTGGCAAAGTAGTTTTCTTTTATTTGTGAAGCCTATCTGACTCTAAAAGTCTCATTGATGGGCACAACTGGGAGGGTGGCATGGTGCATCACTGCTGAAGGTTTCGCTTCATGTAATCCCTTCTTTAAGCATCTTCATTGGTTTGTACACAAAAACTACCCTGGCAGCTCCTCATGTACCATCCCCAGGCAGCTTCTACATATGATTATGCTGGTCATCTATAAATCTCAAAATTTTAGAGGGAGATTTTCAAAGGCTTGAACAGCATTTGAGGATCTGGTTTCCTCAGACCTCAGGAAGCTGAGGCCCCAGCTCAAGGGGCATTTGTTATTTGCACTAACACCACCTTAAGAAGACAGCAGGGAGATGGTGTCTCAAGAGCCACGATTCACATCATTACCATTGTTCATTTTGGCTTCTGCAAACGTGGAAATTATTTCTTCCTACCCACTACTTTGCAGGGTTTTTGCCTGCTAAGGAGTCTTTGTTTCTTTGCTCAGTGAAATGAGGGATTACGACAATAAAATGGCACCTTAGGCTTGGCTGGGTATGGGAATAAGTAACAGAAGAGCTTTCCTCTACCCTGGTCCCACCTGGATCCTGCTCCTGTGTTTAACACTGAACATCAGCACTTCTTTCAGAATATACCCAAAACAAACGGCTGTGAAGCAGAAAAAGGCTACAACAAAAGCAGTAAACTGAACCCACAGGCAATAGTAATTATTGCCCTTCCAAGAAGAAGTAAGAGAAAAGTCACAGCTTCTCCAGGAGCTGCCCCTGGGATGGCATACTTCTACACAGCGCCTCTCATCTCATCAGGCTGATGCAGAGATTCACGGTAAATTCTTAGGCTTTGCTAATCAGATAAGCTTGTCCAGGCACATAGTGCTGTGCTTACAACCTCCATCTGCAAGAAAAAAAATCATGTCTTCTTGTGAAGGCTGATAAGCTGTGGATTGCTATTCTATTTGCTTGGGATTAATCTCCCATCAAAACCTGTGTTGATTCTCAGTTGATTGTAAGTTCAAGTACTTTGTTGCAAAAGCTAATCCTGCAAGCAGATAGTTGAGGTCCCATGCACATTCTTTTGGGGGGTATGGGAAAGGTAGATTAATTAAGAAAGCAGATTAAATTGGTCTAGTTTATTTGCTCTTCTCCTTTCTGTAAACAGGAGTGAACTTTGGCAGGGTTAGTTTTCTTGTTTCATTCCACTAGAGGTAACAAAATGTAATTTTCTTTAACAAGGGCAAATCAGAAGGAACTTACCCTCTGCTCTTGAGGCTGAGATAGGAACAATGCTGCCTCATTCAAGTGGCTACCAGTCATTATGAAATGCATGAATAAGCAGTGACAATTAATTCAGTGAGGCCAGATGAAAACATTTTTTGGGTGATAGTGTAATGTAAATCATTGTTTTACACATTCCCTTTCAATGATTTAATTCATGCCTTTCTGACCCCCGCTGTGTTATGATTCATAGATTAGTGCTTGTGTGTGTAATTTAAAAGAGCTGAATAACAAGCAGCAAGGAGACTTAAACAAATCCTCACATCTGATGTTTTCATGATAAATTAGTAAAACATCATTAGTGCCATGTGGAATGATTACGCTGCTGCAATTTCTACATAGGTACCTGTCAGGAAAAGAAGAAAAATACAAGAAACATTGCATAATGAGCAGTAAAACAAATGTAGAAATCCAAAACAATGGCAGCCATATAATCCACATCCCGTACCATACCTGTATTCCAATAGATAAGCATCTGTTTTTCTTGAAGTGGTCCTTCTTTCTATCTTCTACTGCAACGGTGGCAATGGTTGTGGTGGTGGTGACAGTGGCAGTATTGTTCCCTACATGTTGACTTGCAGGGCCATGGATCTGCGCATTGGCAGCTTCAATAGCAGCTGTTAGCGCCTTCATACTGTCCAAGCTCTCCGTGGAGTTGCTAAGTCCAGACTGACTGATGATATCTCCCCTCTGTCCATGCCCATCCATATATGCATCTTGGGCAGACTCTGTGCTGCTCTGGGCTGTGATGGAAATAAATGGTTTGGTGGTAGTTCTTGGTGGGACTGGAGGCGGTGTCTTCTTATAGGTGGTAATGCAGGATGACACTGGAAAAAACATATGAGAGTTCTTGATTTATTGACGCTGCAAAGAAAATGGATGCAAATATGTTCTCAAAGCATCAGTGAACATGGACAGAGAAAACATAAGGAGAATGCTGTTAGTCAAACAGCCCCCAAAAGCTCCAATGTAAGTGCCATGGAAATACCTTGCTTATCAGTGTCCTCTGTTCCTACTGATGTGAGTGGCAGAATTGCCGGTAGAGGGAAAGAAATTATCTATTTGCCAAGTTCCTTCTTAGTCTTTTTAGGATTGTTTTCTCCAGTATATTTTCTACTAACTGTTCTAAGTCCCATGGGAACAAGTCCTTCCACCAAAATGTTTGTTCTGCTCATGGCTTCCAAATAAGATTCACAAGGATGATGAATCTCCAACCACTTATCCTAGCTAAACTGTACTTCATGCAGTTTTATTGCAATCGTTTTCTGTCTCTCTTGCCCTGTCCAAGTTTATGTAGAATTTTAAACTCCATTTTTCTGATCAGAGGGAGATCCCCAAACCATCCTAGGTCAAAGTCTGTTAACACTCACCATGCTTGGACTTGTGTATTTCTTACTATAAAGCGTCTCACTTGTTGTGCAGACTTCTCAAATACTTTGAAATGCTTTGTAAGCTACTGAGGACATATTTAAAAGAACATTTTGCCATGCCTAAATTTCTTATCATAAATATAACATATCAGTTCTGGAAAAAAAATGCTTAATTTTACACACAGGGAGTTAGCGTAATGAAGTCAATGGCTAAAGCCTGTCAGTCAGTGGGACGACTTAAAGGAAAGTCTAAGTATAAATGTTTGCAACAACAGAGGCTTTAATAAAAGTTTATGAGGACTTCTCTTTTCATACTTTGAAGGCCATGCTCTCTTTGTAAGTGCTTCTATATGGATTTAGAAGACTAGCTTGAGGTTCCCAGGTTAAAAACTGTTGGCCTGTGTTTACAGAATTACATGCAGAAAGCACTACATGGAGATAAAAACATCTTCCTTTAAGGGAAAGCTGGCAGCTCTGCATTACTGAAGTCCTGGAATGCTTTCAAATGAGGAAAGAAAGTCCATTAAGAACAAAAAACAATCATGATATGCTCTATTTTTTAAGAAAATAAATGCAGGCATGAACCTGTGCAAAGTTCAGACACAAACATGTTAACATAAATTCTTATTAACAGTAATCATATGGCAAGAAATGATTCATCAGATCATTTTAATTGGCAGACGTCTATGCCACCCACATAAAAGGTAACTCTACTACAGCTGTTCTGCTCTCTGTTTGCACTGTATGCACTTGTCGAGCCAGAAGCCATTATGGTATTAATTTGACTAGCTCAGATCCATATGCCTCATATCTCCCGATAGCTGTAGGAATAGTTGTAGTGTAAAGGCATTTCCAGGGCATGAAATCACACGGGACTTTTTTTAAGGACTCTAGTATAAGTTTCTGATAACATGTCTGAACCCATGTTGAACACGTTGAATGTTAATGGAAAAAGAGTGTTTCACTAAGGTAGTGAGGGTTTTGAAACTATGATTCACTTCTGAAGAATCAAACAGAAACCACGGCATCTTTGAGAGAAGAGATGGCTAAAAATGAACTTGTCAAATTTTAACTCCAGGGAAGTAAATAGTTGATAGGGGTTAAAGGTGTTTTTTAAAGTGCTTATGACAAGACCAATACCTGGAACTAACAGAAAGGATGATAATTTTACAAAGGCGATGGTGAATTTTGTGCCATTCTTCATTGGATTTGATGCTGCCAAAAAGCATTTGTTGCAGCTGTGCATGTTCAGGTAAATCAGCTGCTGTTGCTGCAGCACAAACATTTACCCTGGGACTTACGGAGAATTGTGGAGGCTGCTGCTTGGGTGATGATAGCCCAGAAATGACCCAGGTGGTTCGTGGTCTGGAAAATGTTCTCTGAGTGGTGGAAATGCAAACTGAAATTCACCACTGAAGAATTCAAAGCACATACACACGTGTATATCCAGGTAATGCTTTGGGAAGCTGAAGCCTAATAGAGGTTTGTGTGCAACGCTACTCTGCAATGCAGCAAAGTATAAATTGCCCCATTTAAAATATGCTAGGCATGGTCATTGTGGAAATCCTGGGGAGACACCAGCACCTCCAGGACATCCTACCAAGACACGTAAGTATCATTTTTCCTACAGAGCAGATAGGGAAATGATAATGCAACACACTTGAAAAGTATTCTTAGGTAGAAGAGAGAGCTTCAAAAATAAAGAGCAAGCCTTAACCAGGCTGGTCCCCACATCACTGGTCATCATCCCCTAGAAAGAGAGTCAATAGCAACTGTCTATTGACAGCTACCAGGCACTCTGGACACAGCAGTACAAATACAGAAACGCCTGATTAAGATGTCTTTCATTCTGTTGGTAAATGTACTCAATGAGGACTCTAATCCACTCTGCAATGAAAGATGTTTGCACTCAGCTAATTAAATCTGAAGTTATTCTTAAGAGGGGGAGAGAATTGACAAGTCATACGGTGAAATTGTAAAGAGAAACAGCAAACGTTCTTTTAGCAAGTCAAAACAAATCCTCAGTTTCCTGGAGTCACGCAGCACATACTGTATAGCTCCGGAGAAGCAAAGTGTGTAAGTCATAAAAGAACCCCAGGCACTTCATTACTGGAAATGATGTAAGCTCCCGCCGCTCCTCTGCAGAAACGACAACAAAACAATGCTTGGGCCGCCACCACCGTCGGAGGCAGCTGCGCTCTAAATGTCGTAGCTGGCTGAGCCCTCCAAACGGCTGAAGCACAACAACGAAAGGGATTCGGCGCATCAGTTTTTCTCCAGGCACTTTCAAGAACCTGGCAACTTGTAACATGGCAACCTGAAGGATCTGCTGGCTTTTCAAGTGGCTACAGTATTTTAAATGCTAAGCTGCTCGAAAAACAAAACAAGCACTCCCCAAGAAAAATGACAAAACCCTGGCGCTCTCCTTGTGCAGCCAAGAGAGTCCGAGCATGCAGTCGGTGCGGGGAGAGCACATCACGTTGCTTTCTGTTCCCGCGGGCAAAGGGGAAGCTCATCCATCCAGCTCTCCTGCAGCAGAGATGGACTGCCCGGCAGGAGGACTCTGAGGGAGAAGATTACAGGATCATGGGATGCATGAAAAAGATGGAGAAATCCTCACTTCACACACAGGGGACTTTCAAAGGGTTTTGCACATGAAAGTTAGTTTAATTCACATCAGGAAGTGAATTTAAAGGGCTGTATAAATTCCCTGATAAATACATTCTTGGACATGGATCAAGGAGCGAAGTTCTGTATGGAAACTGATCTGACTGGAGGGTCAAGTCAAAGTAGTCTCGTTTTTCATTAAAACTGTTTAGACATGGAGTTAATCAGAACTATCGTTTTCTGAATAGCAAACGTGTATATGAACCCTCAGTTTGTCACAATATAGAGAAGATTTTCATATTATTTTCCAGTGCACACATGCTGCTGGAGCAGGTATACATTCCTCTCCTAAAGCGTATGCAAAGTTTAATCCAGAAACTAGTTAAGTCATGTGCAAGAATCCTCTGACTTCCAAAGCACCTTGAATCAGGCCCACTGTTTCCAGCTGTATCAATCCACTAACCAATGCTCTCCTTTTCATTTTGATCTTTATCCTATTTCTGTGGCCTGCCTTCGGGTTACAGTTTAATCCCAAATACCTAGTGAAAAAGCACTTTCTCCAGATTAAAAAAAAGAAAAGTCCTGGTGTTTGTCCTCCTAGCCAGTATTTCCAAACAACTAGCTCATGGGACAGGAATTTGGAACAGGGAGTGTCAACCACCCAGTTCAGAAGGAAGTCTAATGATAAAAAAAATAATCCCAGGTTGCATAATAATAAAGGCTTGAATTTGAATGTTTCATTGTAAGAGCACTTCAGTTGTTTAAACATGCTCACTAGGGAGATGAGCCCTCAGGAACAAACATCAGCACGCAAACACAGATTTTTAGCTCAGTGAATGGGTGCTCAGGAGAACCCCAAGGCAGATTAATATTTGTGAAGAGATCAAATTCATGCAGTACTTTGAACAGTTCACGTGATGAGATATGTAAGCAATATCTTTCTAATTTGGCAGTCTCATATAAGCTTGGTTAACAAATACAAGAATAAATGAAAGTGCAAATTTAAAGTTAATTAAAATAATAGTGTTTCTCTTGAGAAAAAGGACTAATTCCACAGTTTGAAAGGAGCAGCAAAGGACACCACTTCTGCACAACTAAGTATTAAGGTACAAGGCAGGAGTTCTTCCACCCCGCACAGATGGACCTCAGTCTTCTTATTTACTGTCTGTTAAACAGGTGTGTTAACAGTGGTGCCCTTGCCTCTCACACAACTGCCACACAAAACAAGCAGGCCTGAGCCTCACAGCTGCAGCCCCCGAGCTCCCCACACAAAGGTGCAGCGCTTGATTTGGCTTGTTAGGCTCAAACAGAGAGGTTATTCTCTTTACTATGCACTTACTTCCTTGCTTTGTTGAGGTTTTGGGGGGGAAAGGCTTGGAAATGGGGTTTCAGATTTTGTGTTGTTATTTTTACATGCAAAAAGTTGGTATGAAAACAGAGCATGCATTTTCTTAATAAAAAACTACTTTCATATAGCAGACAGCTTCTGAGGATGCAGAGATTTACTACGTAAAAACTGAAATAAAGATTTTCATACAAAGTTCTAAACTGCGCAAGAGAATAATACCAGAGTGAGTTATGGATGTCATTATCCCAAATGAGAACTACTGAAATCTCTGTACCACGCCATCTTCATGTTTCTGCCAAGGCCATGCTTTTTCTGCACCGCCACCACTGCGAAGCCAGATATCTTATCCGACAAAAGCCTAAGCTACACTGGATTTTGAAACAGGCATAACTGATAACTAAAATCCTGCAGAAATCTATACAAAGTATCTAAACTATCTTTACTGCACACAATAGCACCATAGTGTTAAGATTTAGTGTCCCATGTACTCTGATGTCTAAAA